GTGAGCGACATACCGTCTTAAGCAGCAGGATAGACTAGATCAGTGGTTCTCAACCTTTTTTGCATCAGGACCCATTTGTAAACATTGATGGCCAGCCCTGACACAGTGCCCCTCATCACTCCTGACCCGCTGCCCCCTTCCCCCAGGCCCCAGCCTCCCTGTGTGGGGGGCAAGGAGAGATATGGGGGATCCCAAGCAACCCCTTGCAACCTGGAGCTCTGCCAGCCTGCAAAGGAAAACCAATGGTTTCCCATATTTTTCTCCTTTAAAAAATAAACAATTTTTAAAGTTTGTTGATCCATTTATGAAGTTTGTTTGCGACCCTTTCATATATTCTTGCAACACACATTTGGGTCACAACCCACAGGTTGAGAAACGCTGAATTAGTTGACCTTATAAGGTCCCTTCCAGCTTTACTTTCCTATGATCCTACACTTATTTCTGTACATCACTTTAGGTCAGTGGAAGATGCAATGATTCCTAAAAATCTCTGCACATGCCAAATATTAATGGCCTGAAGGACTATAGCCATCTCACCTACATACTTAGATTACCACTCTCTGGAGATGGCCAAATGTGATAATATTCTTGTTATCTACAATGAATTAGTTCTATTTCCACTTGTGCTTCAAAATCAGATCTTGAGTTAAAGAATAAGTAATTAACTTTAATGACAACTCTCCAATTACACGCACATCCTGTACATGCACTCATTCATTCAAACAGCACCACTCTTCCTTTTTATTCTACTGCTTTGTGATGTTTGGTTGCAACAGTCCCATAGTGTCTTCTGAATAGTAAGGCCTCAGGTAATACATAACAAAAAGGTGTCACAGCACTGGATGCTGCAATGCTACTGTACGTGCAGCATTTATGTGGTATTCCCAGCCTGTGTTTGTTAATGATTTATTGATCAGACAACTTGAAGAAGAAACCAAGATACAAAAACCAATAAAGAAATGGAGAAATAACAGAATGAACTTGCATCTAGGCGCTGCAGGAAAATTCAACTTAGTAATGCCAAACTAGGGTTCAAAGGATCTAAACTAATAGTAAACAGACATTTCCACTCCCTTAACTAAGGCTGGTAAGTATGTTAACTAAGTATCTATAATAGGATACAGATTTATTAGCTTCTGCAATATTTAAGAAGAACTGGCAACTGAACATTTTTCACACCATTTTGAGTAATAAGAACATGACTAGAGGCAAGAGGACATCTGAGTTAATGCCCAAGAATCCACTAGGAAATATTTGGTAATTAGAATTAAAGTGTTTAAGGGAAAAAAATAGGTCACTGAAGTTCTGCAGAGCATGTTTTCAAGGAATGAAGGAAATGATAAAATCACAAAGTAACAGAAGAGAGCACATAAGGGAAAGAGAGAGTATTCTGAGATAAATTAAAGCATGGCCAAGGGTCACAGGCAATTTCTAGTTATAAAGGCTCTGGAAATAGAGGGAATGCTTGTGGCATGCAGAGAAACACGAACAAATCCAGACTGCCACCAGCAATATATGCGACATCAGATAGCAAAGAAAAACTGGAACCAGCTTAGTAACCACAGTGAACGAAAGCAATGGATGTACTAAACAGAATATAACAATTAATTTCTTTTGCAAGTAGAATATACTAATACCAATGTATATTTTAAGGAGAAAAATGAGTGTGTACATGCGCATATACATACACACACAAATGAATGGGAACCATATACTGACAGGGAAAATTCTTTCATTTGACAGGGTCTGTTTTCACAAAGGAAGATGCAGGTGCTGAATACAAAACATCTGAATATTGTAGAGAAAGAAAGGCAACATTAAAAGTCTTCATATATCAGAACACTACTAAATGAGAGCTCTGAGAAACAGAATTGAAGGGCCATATAGCATTTAACCAAAAATATCTGAAGTAATTGGCCCATAAGGGGAAACTTAGAGGCATATTTCAAAACTTACTGAAAAGAAGATAACACTGACATATATTTGAGAAGTCTCCAGAAATCTAGTGACTCAAACCAATCTTAAGGCAATAAAACTGGAGTCACCCTAAATGGTCCAAATTCAGAGTGCAGCTATTATACCTAATAAATATGGTATGACAGTGTTTTCCAGTAAAGTATTTGGTAAGGATACAATCTATTACTGCTGAAAGGAGCTCATTAATAGTGTCATAAGAAATTCATCTAGAAGATCAGTAAGCAAGATTCATTAATACAGTAGACAACTGTACTGAATATTTGAAAACACTGAATGCTTGTAAATATAAATTGCTCAAACTAAGGGTGCTCATTATCAAGTAGTTTATTCATCTATGAATGGTTAACAAAGAGAAAGTTGTTCATCTTTTCAGATTCTAACCCATGTGCTCTTAAAGCCTGTTGCCAAATTGCAACATAAGCAAGTAAAGTTTAATCGTAAAGGTGACAGAACAATACCACAACACCACCTCAGCTTCATTTCTAGAATGGAAAAGACAGTAAGGCTATTTTATAGGTAGCAATATTTTAAGTGCCCTGCTATGTCAAAGTAGATCCCTCCAAAGAACAGAGAACATAATCTATTGCAGTTATTTTATGTTTACTGTGCTAAGTAACTTATGTACAATTAATTATTCCATCTTAAAAAAAGTTGATAAAAAAAGAGAATGACACTTCCTGTACTACTACTGCCCACTATGGTCTAATTGGCTTTGAAAGAAAGCCTATTATATGCTTACATAATATCCGTGGCTTAATATATATTAAGTGTTGAAAGGGACATAGAAATATTTTGAATAAATTGGTTTCCGGAAGCACTGATAGTCTTATTTCCTCCTCTCCTACTTATCAGGTAACCAGCAAACTATCAGGAGGGGAGAAGGGAGGAGTCTGGAAGAGAAAGGGATGCTGTAACCCTAGACATAAATACCATTCTGGCAGAAAAGTTTAACATGGTGCCAATCCTAGCCATGTACCTGTCTACAGACAAAGCTTCACCAACATCAGTCAGGCTCCATGTGGACAAGAGTTACAAGTGATGACAAAATATAAAGACTCTGCCTAACTTCCACTATAGCTGTCACTGTCATTTCAACAATTGGTCAACAACAATAGATGTGGCAAACTTCCTTTTTTTCTAAATGAAGAACAATACTCTAAGCCTCCATAAAATGCGAAACTTGAAAAAAATCTAGCTGACTTGGTACTTTCAATGCTTAAATATCCTGCATTTCTCTCAGTGTAGACCAGTAATTCTCAACCTGGGTCCTGTTATCACTGTCAGGTGTACAAACATGATTCACAAGATAAACCCGAAGATTTCAAATAGGAATCCATAGCATTAAAAATATTCTGATCTGTGGTGGTCTTTCTGAGTTCTCTGCAACAGAAAAAATGTTCCATTATTTTTCCATAGTCAAAAAACAAATGAAAATTAAAAGCTGGCATTTTCTAAGAGATGCCTTTGAGTCTAACAAGGACAAGGAAAAAGAATTAGTCAAGTTTAAGATGACCGGATCCCTTTAAGCAACAAAAAGGCACCAAACTAAGTGTCATAATTTGGGACCTACCAAATTCACAACTTTCCGATTTTCACGGAAACCATGAATTTGGGAAGTTGCCAGTAAAAAAGCCCAGTCCCAGCAAAAAAGCAGGTAACTGGCCAGCAAGTAGGGGGAGGCACTGCAAACAGAGGCAGAAAAGCCCTGGTGTCCTGAAGGGGGGGGGGGGCGCCAGGGACAGACAGGGAGACTTTTGTAGTATAGCATGGCATCCCTCTCCCCGCCAAGCCTCCAACTGGCTGAGGGGCCCCAGAAATCACTCCCCTCCCCTCCCCAGAGGGACACATCCAACTGTCAATCCCCAGGAAGGGGCAGCTAGCCAATCAGAGATGGGGGGGAATGGGGGTGCCACACTCTGCTAAGAAAATGCCTACTGGCACTGCACTGGGACCACAAGATGTGGATGCAGCCGCCATGAATTAGGTAGGTCCCTAGTCATCATTTACTATAACAGCAGATCTCAACCCTGCTCCACGTGAGGCACCCCTTCTTAACTGCTGTGAATGGAGCGGCACCCTATTGCAAAAAAACAGTATCTACGCTGCAGTGCTCACCCCATTACAACTTAAGAACACAACTATCACCACCCCAGGGCGGACCCATGGTCCATCCTGCCCAGGACCCTGCATCTGACTGAGCCTTATAGCTCTTCTTGGTGGGCAACACCCCATGACCCCTTGGAAATAACAACCAGGCCTGGCCCCAACATAATAGGGGCAAGGGTGGCTGCTACAGAGGGGAGCACTGAACCAGATCTCTCTAGATGAGCAGTTCCCAATCTGTGGTACAGGTACCACCAGAGGTACATAGACAACCTGTCTATGGTCAGTGGTACGCGTTAACAGATGTATCATAATTGCTTTAGATGACAAAAATTTGCTGGTGATACTTAAGGTTGTATTGTTTCAAACTGGTGGCGCTCAATGTGTCAGAATTCGGGAACTGCTGCTCTACAGTAGTGACTCCCCTGCGGGTGCCCCGCAATCATGCTTCACATAGCAGACCCACATTTCTCAAATGGGAATCCAAGGCGTGAAAAACATGCAGTGGAGAAGAATTCACAAAAGACCACAACAGCGCAAAAGAGTTGTTCTGTTATTTTCCTAACTGTCAAAAAAAAAAAAAAAAAAGCAAAA